AGCTCAAGCTGTTGGTTTTTTGAGAACACATGTGGTTATCATGTCTAGAAAGTGATCCACATCCAAATCAATAGCTCACTGGATGCTGGACTGAAGCGCGATGACCTCAACTCCGGTCCGCGTCGAGAGAGATGCCCGGATGAGGGGTTTACTACGGGCCTTCAATGCGTTGACGAGTCGCCTTTCTCGACCCCGTTTTGAAAAAAAAGGCACTATACAGTTAATGAAAGAAAAAGACCAAGCATAAACAATGACATTACTTGCATATGTGATTGTCAGTCATTTTTGTCAAGTTTGTTGTACAAAATCTATTAATCAAAAGTTATACTTAGGAAGAACAAAAGATGTCAGAGATGTTCAGAATTCTTGAAATTTTCGTGTTGAAGCCGAGAAACTTTTTCAGTTCTTTTGAATCCGGAATGATGCGACTACTTTTGAAGAGCAGTATAAGCAACCGCATAGACACTGGTGGCTCTAGAATAACACTACTGGATCTGTCTTTTCCGTCTACAAATTGCCAGAAGTTGGGGTTTTCAAAAATACTTGTCCATGGAAGTACATGAGCATCTTGCTCTGTATAAGTCGGAAGTCCTCGACGGGCCCTTGTGGTATTCTAAAACCTGGCGATCCACTGAACACTGCACGAAAAGGAGTGAAGAAAAAAGGCTGTTCTAGCTGTGCTGAAGTTTCAAGGAGGAGATCGAAACTAAAGGTTGTTCAAAAATAAGATTTGGACAAGCAAGCTGTTAGAAAGTGATCTAATTGTAAGTAACCTTACGAAAATGAGGACTGGTCTACAACTTCAGAGTAATTAGGTGGAGGGTCGGCTGAATGGTGGAACTGACATGCTGCACGTCGTCAAGTTTGGATCCGGTGCCGAACATTTCTGGATCTTTGTAAACAATCGATAAGCTTTCCTAGTGAATACGCTTTTATTAAGTTGGCCCGAAAATTTGTTCAAACCATTGTCAAAAATTCGTATTTTCTGGTTTTTTTAAACCGATTTGCGTTTTTCATTTTCATCTGAAAAAGCAGCTCATGCTCTTCACTGTCTTAGCGGTTTTCTATTGGTATACGCTCTGTAGATAATAGCGATAAAAGAAATACAATTTTTGAATTTTTTGTGTAGGGTCATGAAAAATCTGAAACTTGCAGTAAAAATCGAAGCAGTCGATATTATAGGTTCTACAGCCAACGTGTCGGTTTGTGCGGGTTCGCAGATTGGAAACAGTCAACAAATTAATATTCCCATTGAAAGCCGGTCATAGCATTACTTAGAACCCGTCATACTCGAGCAAATCTTTCACGACCTACAGCAGCTTAAAGGACATTTAAGTGCTTACAACAAATCGTTGAAATATGCTTGGCTTGTAATCCGGTACGCATTTAGCAATCCTCGTGCGATAGCAAGCTTCTTGTGTAACATGGCGCATTTGCATTTACGGCCTATTTCCTGTCCTTTTTTGATAGTGTTTAATCATAAATGTATTCCCAAAGGAATAACCAAAACAGCAATAGTTTCATATTTGTTCTGCAGTGTACTGAACAAAATATCTGGATCACGCGTTCGTAACATGTGCTAGGAAGTACCAACAAGCAATTTGGCAAGCAATGATATAACAGTTTATACAAATATTCTGTGCATGTACAATCCAAATTCTCATGAGTGGATCTCGTGTTAGTGTTCTACTGAGGAAAATTCAGTTGAGCGCGGATTAGTCTATCTCTATGGCAGTTTGACTAACTAAGGGTATAAAAGCTAGCAGCTGTGAAAACTACATTCAGCTTGAAATCTGGGAGAAATGGCAAAACCTCACCACTAACCGACCCAAAATTTCTACTGACTACGTTAAAAATTCTCTACAGTTTGCCTTCTAGTTGTTCTCCGTCAGTTGTAAATACCCTATTTTCAGGTGTATAAGCCGCGGGGTGGTCCTAGCTTACATCGATCAGCCCGAACACATCAATGGACCTCGCATCCAAAGGACCCTATACCGTGCTGCTTATTGTCTGAAAGAATCGTGCGGCATAAGGATCGCTTCTCAAAACACAAAGAAGTGGCTGAGCAGCCCGGGCGAAAATTTGAAAAAGTGCGGCTTATACACCTGAAAATAGGGTACTAGAACTGTGCGCTCACATGTGGAAAGAGTCTGCAACGTTCTTAAAGCGCAATTCACGCTTTGGAGAGACCGAGTAAATCTTGATGTTGAGGATAACAACGTTTGTACTTCTGCTCTTGCACTTTTCCTAACAGCAGGCTCATTCCAATTACTCATCTTGTCAGAGTCAAATTGCATACAGCAGATGGAGGAGATAAATATTACCTTCACATAAATTTTCAAATGCATCATCGAATCTGAGATGCAATCTTCTCCTACAAACCAGCAAAAGGCTCAGTTTTTAGAAAATCGAGGTAAACGAACTTTTGCTGATTCAGATTGTCCTTCTGGGGGTATGTGCAACAAGATAAGACCCTACCAAAGGAGGCGAGATAGTGTAGAAACTAAACCCTGCATCTAACAAGAGAGGCCCGATTAGTCGAACTGGCATCTCCATATGAGTCTTACACCACTTTGAAGAGCATCAAACGGTGATTCCAGTTGAATTCATTATTTGCCGAGCGCCTCTGCATGCCGAGATAGATAGACTTTTTTGGTGCGAAAAATGAAAACGCATAATCTAGATAAACTCAAATTTTGTCTTCGCTCAAACAGAGCAGCGCTGTCTATGAGTGTTTTGGACACAAGTAATGTTCAAATGGAGTGTTCTGATAAGTAACATTGGGCCATTTAAGCAATTTCTGACAAATTTCGTTCCAATTATGCATTCATTTTCTCAACTCACAGGCTCATAACTCAACGTCCATAGGCGCTCGGCAGATAACAAAGACAGATTTGGAACCAGTGTTCGATGCACTCTATAGTCGTGTCAATTTCATGTGAAGAGGCCACTTCGACCTGCGGACCTCCCTCGTAAGTTAGAGTTGTAGTGTTTTGATAGAAGAAGTTATTCAAAAAACCTGCTGATTGCAAACCGTGAAAGCCACTAAGCTGCGTGTTATCATAGGCTGAGTTCATACTGATCCGGAAGATCCGGAACAGTTCCAGCATAGTTCTCACACTGTGCTGGAAGTGTTCCAGTGTGCTGCAGATGCTCGCAAATGTTTTTGAGCGACACGAATCAGGCGTTTTTTTCTGAAAGGTTTCGATTACACATTTTGCTCATTTTCGTCTCATTCTTGCACTTTGCTTTTTCTTGTGACGAAGAGAATTTCAGACTCAAAGCTAGGTTCAAGAATAAAGCTTTTCATGTTTGTCGTGCTTAAAAGATGTGTTTTCCTTGGTGCGTTCCTTCTTCTTCGTTCTCTTTTTATTTTTCAGAATGTCGCTGCGTAGATACGACGAGCTCTCTCCAGAAAGAACAGATATTATTATCACGATTGCGGAGATCGCGATTTCTTCGTGTTTTAATGAGATTTGGTTTTTGGACGTTCCCTTACTTCTTACAACTCATACTGCTTCTTCTGTTCTTAATTATTGTTCCGTTTCTGATAAAAACACCGAATTTGGGAAGTGTGAGTAGATGGAACTCAACTCATACTTCTTCTTCATTCGTTCTTAATTAGTGTTCCGTTTCTGGTGCAAAACTCCGAACTTGGGAAGAGCACGTAGATTGAGGCGGTATTAAATTCGTAACAGCTTTCATGGGTCATTTTTTAAATCGTGATTTGACTGCGGTCTTTGCGCCCATACGAGCCTAAAACACTTATACAAAGGCCTTGGCGTTTTGCTCAGTCGCTTCTAGTATTTAGTACTACCATACGTAAGCAAAGAAACAAGTCAAGAAGAGATGAGAACCGGGGAAATGCGGTTGCCTGGAAATGCGCGCGTGTCGCGCGCGGTCGCGCCATCGTCACGATTTTTCAAATGCCCTATAGCCTGATGTACACAACGAAAATAGTGCTCATTTTGGTAGCCCTCTCCAGGCTTGGAAACACATCATCGCGAGAGGTAATAACGAAAAGCTGTATGCTTTCGCGATTGCCTCGGATCTCGTCGAGATAGTCGCAAAGCCGTTAGAAAGAGGAAAAAATTGTGCATCGGTCACTGCTTCAAGTATTTGTTTATCTTCTCTACGGGATTTGCGGGTAAGTCCAAAAAACGGGAAGAACTTATGCACCGACCCAAAGCATCCAAGGGTATAAGGATTTAGATCGAGGATTGGAAAAAACTATGATGAATGTGCCAAACGCAGTTATTTTCTCGACACTTTAAGGCCTCGGGCATACCTCACGCGATTTCAGTCGGTCGCCACGCGATTTGGCAATACTCCAAATGTTCATAACTCATCCTACGGGGTTTCTGAATGTACGGAAGAGGGAGCATTTTATCAACCTACGAAAGTTATACATGCAGTGCATTTGAGGTCTTCCAGTATTGAATTTGAAGACATATGGCAAATTGCCAGATAGCGTGGCGACTGAAATCGCGTGAGGTATGTCCCTTGCCTAAACCTAAATAGGATTGACAACGATTCTTAAGAGCTACAGTCTTCTACAAGGCGTTCTATTTATGAATTTCATTTGTAAATTTATGAATTGACTGAGGCTGACGAAATATGTACATACAGCACATCTTTATTGTATTGGTATGTCTCCATGCAAGTCTTTGGCATCCTTAAAGGCAGTGTCCGGGCAAAAACTCGAATTTGAGATTTTTTGCTTACCTGGGCCTTTCCGCTATCCTGAATCCGAAAATCCACACGAGAGAGCGCGAAAACGGCGAAAAAGCGCTCTTCCGGAAGCCCTCCAAGTTGACCGCGGACGAGTATCGGCTGGCCCGTGCAGAGTCAGAGAAGCGTCAGCATAGTACATTGGAGCGTCGTTGGGCGCTAATTCCTCGTGCTTTTTTCTTCTTTGATGTCTTTTGTCGTTCCTGCTTCATCCTCGTGCCCTTTAACTTCATGACCGTTTGGCTTTACTCTACACATGCACTGCACTTGTTTCAGATTCTAACTTTTTCAAGCTGGACGCTGCTGGAGTGGAAAAAAACAGAGAACACAATAAGCAGAGTGAGTTTTCCGCGATCTTACATGTGTTTACTCTCTATGGTCAGTAATCTTAATACTTTACTTTTGTTTTTCATTGCTTACTGTGTTATTAACTCAGTCTTTTATTTCACGCATAGAGTATATCAGTAAGTCTATGTTCTCAGTCTTCCGATGCGAAGAAAGCAGCCACTACACTTGCTAGACTTCAAAAACAGCAATGGTGGAAAAGTGTGTAATTTTCCTATATATATTATTTTGAGTAACTATTAGTTGCTGTTTTTCAGTTCGCAAAATGATCGATCACTTCGAATACTTGTCTCGAGTTTTGACGACAGCAATGTGAGTGATTCTGGCATTTTTTTTTTCATCTACCTAGAGTATGTCAGTATTTGCTTTGTGTTTTAGCTCTTGATGGAAAGTGATCGATCACCTCGAGCTTTGCCCTGGAGCGCTCATAAAAATAGCAATGTTGAGAATGTGGGTGATTCTTTTTGTCAATTTTTAGAGTATGATAATGTTGTGTGCTTTAGCTTTCCAAGCGTATGATCGATCACTTCGAGCACCTGCTGGGAGCAGTCTCGAAAGCAACAGTGAGAAAGTAGGATCTTGGATTCACCCAGGTTGTGTGAAAAAGTAGTCTCGAACTTGATTGTAAAGTTGTCCTTGTAAATCTTTTTTATTAGAAAGTAGAATAGTAGTTAATTATGATAATGGTAGATATTTTCCTAGATAGAAGAAGTAGAGACTTTTTTCATTTGTCCACAGTAGACAATTTTTTTGTTCAAATCTTTCTCTGATAAGAATTTGAACTCAGATTTGATCTGATAGCATTATTCATCTGTTTGTTATTGCTGTCGTTTTTCTGTTCAGTTCTATATATTACTTGTGGCAGGTGATGAAGAGCTTGTTGAATTGTTTTGTATAAGTTTGTTTCCATATAGTTTCAAATTGGTGTTACCTGCTGTTATTTTTGTTCTTGTTCTGTATCATAAATCTATGCATAGCAATGTGTTCGTAGAAGAACAATTTCCTAGTAAGAGTATTTGAGAAATGCCCTGATTACTTAGTCGCTGTTTCAAAAGACTCTGTTTGGAAAGGCATAGTGGAAGCAGGAATCTCAGAACTAAAAAATGTGTTCGCTGTTAAGTATCTTTCAGAGCGATCTTTGTATTTATTAGAATTCTTTTTCATCAGGGATATATACAAGGGAAAGTTCGAGCAATGGACTTGGATTTATAGAGATCATACAACTCAAACAGTAAGGGTGCTCTGCGAAAGAACTTTGTAAGTACATAAAGATATTTTGAATCGGTCAATTCTTTGATCTCGTCACGAAGGACATTCCATCCAATGGTAGCGGGCTGGGAATGGATGGGCTGATAAAAATCAGAGACCAACGAGTTCCAAGATACTGGCGAAGGCTGTCAAACAGACGAGCTGGTATGCGTGAATCTCCTGAAGATAAAAAACATCAAAATAAGTAGTTGTTCAAGAGTGGAGTGTAATTTTGAACTTACCAACAGATACTCAATCCTTGTTTGGCCATTCCAAAGGCAAAATGCTTGTGCAGCGAGATAAGCCACGAACAGAAGAACCGTAAATGTGGAAGCACAGCAAATATGCAGAAAATTGATGCACCGAGATCAATCTGGAGACAAAATCATAACTGAAGGACTAACATAGCCAAATATTGATTCACCTAGCGATGAGAGCTATGTGGGGCAAAAACAGCTGGTAAGATTGACAAGAGAGAAACCTCCATCCATTTGCGACCATGCAGAATCACAAGTATAACTGCAGCTTTTCAGAAACTTTTAAGCAACAGAAACACTATTTTCTTATGTATAAAGCTGAATGTCTGTTTGTCTGTATGTATGTCTGTCTGTATGTCTGTACGTATGTTCCGAATAGAAAATTCCATTTCTGAACCGATCCGGACCAAACTTGGCACACATACGCTACGGGCCCCGGCGGGTGTCATAGGCTACTTTTCGTCATCGATCCATATCGATTTTATCGATTTTTATCGATTTTTTTGCTGAGTTCACCTACGGGGCTGGGAGTTGGCACAGGGGGGGGGGTGATCAGCATGCTCGATTACCCCCCTGTACAAACTCCCAGCCCCGCAGGTCAAACTTTACAAAAAAAATCGATAAAATCGATAAAAGTAATGGACGATCCTGAAAACTAATATTGTGTTCGTAATCAGCATGCTCGATTACCCCCCCCCCCCTGTGCAAAATCCCAGCCTCGCATGTCAAAATTTACAAAAAATCGATAAAATCAATAAAAGTAATCGATAATTCTGAAAACTAATATTGTATTTGGAATCCCCATGCTCACTTCCCCCCCTTTGCCAACTCCTAGCCCTGTAGGTGAACTCTGCAAAAAAATCGATAAAAATCGGTAAATTCGACATCGATCGATAACGAAAAGTGGACTGTGACACCCGCCGGGGCCCGAAGTGTATGTGTGCCAAGTTTGGTCCGGATACGGCGGAGCCGGGTAAGCCAGCTAGTAAGCTATAAGCTTAGACAATATGAAACAAAAGTGCTTATAAAAGAAAATAGTTGCACGATTGAAGAGGTCGGCAAAACGGCTACCTCTGATTAAAGCGTCCTACGCGAACTCCACTAAAGGAAGAGTGGTGGTCTTGGCGAAAGCAAAAAACATCGCAAACTAGAACGATTAGTGATTATGTAAAAAGTATCCAAAATGCACAACTAAAAACAATGCAAAAGAACTCACCAGGGCAGTGATACGGTGTCGGAGGCGCAAGATGGCGCGAATGACAGATAATAGAAAGTGGTACGATCTGTATCAGCAAAATATACAATAGTTAGATCATAACGAAACAACAGAATATCTCAGGAATATGTAAAATGGCTTAACGTTGCCGAAGAGCAGAAGGAAACGAAACTCCCAGTTGATTCTGGAGCATTTTTCGACAAGATTCACACAAGAAACAAGTTCAGTGAATACTAATGAAATTTGCAAGCACTTATGAGAACCCTAAGGAAGTACTACGAGAGAACGAAAGTAAGTACGCGAGAACTGCTAGCAAAAAGGCGCAGAGTGCTTTTTCCCAACGAACTGCCAGCTTACGGTCAGCCCCGCACACTCGTAACCGCAGCTGCTGCATGGTTGGAGGGAAATCCCTCGATGGGCGGGGTCCTCCGATCGTGGCGTCACTCTCCCCACTTCCGGAGCGATTTTCTCGCTTCCGGTTTGATGAGATGCGCCCGCGATCGGGCTGTTGGGCATGTCAAGGGGGGTACTTCTGCGCGGCAGTGAAATCCCATAACCCCCCATCTAACCCGGACACTGCCTTTAAGGTACATCTCTAGCCATCTAATATTAGGGTAATAAAGTATTTTGGTTAGTAGATTAATGCAGTTTTCCCGAACAGAAAAAAATTTACTTGGATGCTCAAGTCTTGGCAGATGTTAGTAGATACAATGCCTTCCGATCGAAGTCTATGGGTTGGCACCTTTACACGATGTTATTTTCATGAACACTTGGAATCTAAGCTCATCGTTCAAGAGATTCGAGGCCAGCTTAGATTCCAAGCTCTTTGAGCAGCACCGTCGCACTAAAACATGAGCTTACCAAAAATATCGGCGCAGCAATGGGTAAGGGCACTGTCACTAAATTCGAATAGTTTGATGGTCCCGACACTTTGGAGCAGAAAGTGAGCATCAAGTATTAGAAAACAAATCATTTATTTTCTCATCAATGTAATCGAATGAGCTCACTTTTGACAGTCGGGCGGCGTGGCAGGAGTTCCCAAAGCTTAGCCGCTTTTCCTCGTAGGAGTACTCAGCACCTCCAGAATTTCCTTGAAGGACATCACACCTTCTCAAGGTCAAAGGGCGGCTCCGCCCACCGCTCCTCCCTCTAGGTGCCCTCATTTTAAAATGTTTACACGCACTGTGAGGCGTGCTTCACTGGATATGAGGATAATATTAGGTTGCTGCATAAGTTCTGTCCGAAATTTTTTGCCTTATGTTTGAAGCAGCTGCTCTAAGAGGATTTCATCTCTGATGCGATATTGTTAATATCATTAAAAAAGCGCTTTTCTTGCGCTTTCTAAAGCATATCAAATTTCGATAAATTTCTTAGTGTGAGGAGATTTGAGGCCTAAAATCTCCAAGTGGTCGAGGTACGTTCTCACCCTAGAAATATGTTCTTGCGAGAGAATCTCCATAATGCGCCCTTTAGATCAAGTTTTTCAATTGGTTGCGGAATAAGGGTGTAACAGGCTAGCATACGCATAAGTTCAATTTCCTAAAGAAAACGTCTTGCTAGTGAAATTTATTGTCAAACATTAATTTTCTGTCTAGATGTTTTACAATCAATAACTTTCTGCGAATAGAAGTAATCGACGACTTCAAAGTTGGAGGTGCTAGGGTAAAGCAAGGGCTAGCAGAGACCACCCACCAGTTTCTTTTCGGCGCTCATGTTGACTGTGAGATTTTCATAACTCGTAAATAGGTATGCACACATGCAGTGAGGCGAGGTCAAAAAGTGGCTTCTTTTTTGCTCGGTCAAAAAAATCTCTCGGCAACGCAGACCCTATGGGCTGTTTTATGTCCGTAAATAATCTGCGAAAAAATCTCTATCTATCCATTTTTGGACAAGATGCCTATCAATTCTTGTAAGGGAGCACTACCATGTCAAAAAATACAGGTATGAAGAAAAACGCTGTGAAGTTTTTGAGTTCTTGCTCCTTCCTTTACAAGGATTTTCGAAGGTTTCAATATGTATCTAATAGCCAAGGAATTAGTCAACACATAGAAACTAAAATCTTGGAAAAATGTTGATTTTGAAAAGAGTTATGGCATTTTGAACTCAGAAAATTCAAATCGGACAGAACTTATGCAGCAACCTAATAGAATTTAAATTGAGAAACAAAAAAATCTAGGTTTCGATAGGTTTTAGATCCGTTAATGACTGCAACTGAATCCCAGCACTTCGAATTATTTTTGCTCATGTTTTTGATTAAAATGACGCTTCTTTGAAAACTTGTAATCGCGCTTGAGTAAGTTTGTGAGGCACATCGTGTTAATATAAATCAAGAAAAAGTTATGAGTCTTCAAGTCACAGTATATAATATAACAGAGAACTAACGAATTACCATAGACTGCAAATTTAGTGTCGTATTTGGAACTGTTAGCCAGCTCTTCGATTATGCGATGAAGGTGTTATTCTAGTACATCGATAGGAAATACTGCGCTTGAAAATTTCTTTTTAATAATTTGGATCTTATTGATCATCAGAGGAATTGGTAAACTTATTCGGATGATGGCAGACAAAGTAGAAAAGTATATGTGTTAAGGTACCCTAACTGTTTGAGAGCGCGTTCAGTTGCGTATTCGGAAACTTTGATACACTCTTTGAAAATAGGTCCTTTTAATGTTGAGAAGGTAATTGGGTTTCAAACTCCCGATGATAAATTACTTCACTCAGATGACTAAAATGTACAGTTGATCAACCAGGTCCTTCAATGTTTCGAAAGTAGCAGAAGTTTCCAAGCCGCCTCACTTGGGAAATGACAACTAGGTTCCTCGTTTTTCTCCATTAGCTTAATACCTGAATCTCTCTCATTAGCTTAATACCTGAATCTATGTTCTCGCTGCTTGCACACCTCACAATGAGACCAGTAATTGGGTGGAGCAATGGGCGGGGCTTGACCTCTGAGGCACAGAGGTGCTAGAACCCTCCTGGGTGTGAATGCTCGTGCGAGGATGGTGCGAGGAAAGGTGCTAGGAACTCCTGCACGCCCTCCTGACAGCGATATGTGAAAGAGATTTTTACGCTCTATCCATATATATGCAAATTACCTCTAATTTTTTCACTTCAAAAAAACTGTGAACCAAACATGATTTTCAGCCTAAGGATCTGCGCCAAATATCGCACTTTTTGAATAAAGTTCTTTTTTGTACAATAATCAAGAATTTGTACATTCAAGAAATTACTAGAAAAAGCTTGGAAAGCTCTTCAAGTGCTATTTTACATATCCAGGGAATTATGGAAACAGCAGCACAAATTCGAATGTCAAAAAGTCTGCCTGGTTTTTCGAAGAGCCGCTCGAAGGATTGTGGGTCAGTTGGTGCAAGCTGCTGCCAGAATAACATGCGAAGATCAGTTGGTGCAAGGTGCTGCCAGAATAACATGCGAAGGCCACACATGCGAACACCAGTTCTTTGCAAATGAATTGAGAAGAACGTTTCTTAAATTATCGGAATCACAAGGTAAGGCAACATCCTCCTCGCTGTAATTTGTTGTGGAACCATACAGAGGATAACGACTGTGATTTCGTAAACCGCGGATCAGTATACCGCCAAAAGCAATTTTTGGTCGATTCGTGATTTTCAGTGTTTCTGCCACAAGGCTTCGGCGAAGCTGAACGTAATACTGTCGTAAATTTTGCCTGCACAGGTTATCTGCCACAATAACGGAATCCTTTAACTTCTTCTATCCTCTTTAGGGATACAGGCAATTCTGAGCATAGGTGCATTCTCACGAAGCTCATAGGACAATCCCTACTTTTCGACATTTTCGAAGTTTTTATACAAGGAACCAGTAAGAAGTAATTTATCGAATTTCACCCTTCCAGCACGACCATTGCGCATTTAAAGCTTGTAAGGGTTGTTTCATTCTGCAGTCGCTGCAGCTACTGCAGTCATATGGGGCGCGGGCAAAAGATATCGATCGATTGACTGCCGTTGCTGCAGCGACTGCAGTATGAAACAACCCTAAACTGTGTTTCTTGTCCACTAGATCACGTTTATGGAACAGGTTATCACACGATTGACATGCTCTATCGTGTATGCCGAGAACTGTGCACGATTTGAAAGCAAGGCTAAAATAAATAAATTGCTTGTTTACAGCGAACACAGAATCATATGACACCAAAACTGACTGTATATATAGAGAATTATTTGCAAAAGAGTTATGCAAAAATATTTGAAAACTTATGTAAAGCCTTACCTTTTTTAAATTGGTCCGTCTCCAGACGGTCACCAGACGATCTGAGATCGTCTGGAGCATATATTCCTGTCAGTTCACATAATTTTTGGATTTTTCTATCATGATCGGATTGCCGGGTCAGAAATCTATTTTTGAGCATGAAAAAATTTTCATATAACTGCCTTTCCTGCCTTTTTTGCCTTTCTGAATGAATCGCTTCGTTAAATATCGCGCTCCAATGCCAGACTCTTGTGCATGCGTAGTATTCAGCTCCAATTTGGATTTTCATTCTTATCTCACGTTTTTTTTTCAGACTATTAAATCTTGCTTCTTTTCATCTTTTCCTAAGTAGGTAGGTCAAAGGGGACTTCGTATAACTTCCGAAAGTCAGGGGAGACTCGTTTTCAGAAACTCTAGAAACCGACTCGTGATGGGCCCTGGGCTGGCCCCAGGTAAGGGAGTTTCTCAAAGATGACTTTTGGACATTGCCTTCAAAGACCGCGGATAAGAGGGGGAAGAGGAGAGGAGAAAGTGGTTTATGCGAGTTATGCAAACAGTTGCGTAAAGACATATACTTGATTGTAAATTCGTTTTTGTCCTCTAGCATTGACAGTACTCAAGTGTGTGAACTACCCTTGATTTTGCTCTTATGTCTTGTAGGTCTGCAAATAAGTCTTGCACCAAAACTTTGTGCTGGCCATGGACTATAAAGCCACTACAGAGAGAGTGAATGGAACTGTTTGAGAACTACTATTTTGCGCGTAGACCAAAACTACAGGGTGTATGCCCTTCTGAACCGTTTCGTCCTAGCGCTAATCACTCTGCCCGGGCGACGCTAATTACTCTGCCTTTCTTATAATCTATCAGAGTTTTCAAATATCTCTGAGCATTCCAAAGCAAGCAAGGTACACAAATAACGATAGTGGCGATGTTTGAATTATGAAGACAAAAAGTTGGAAAAGTTGCATGTTTTTTTACTGGCCTTTCGTGATTTCTTCGCCCTTCCCACTTTCAAAACACCATGAAGTCTGCACTTGTAAGCTGAAGAATTTACCTTAGCCGACCACGTATAACATTTTTGAGTTTCGTGGGAAATTCAGACGTCTCTAACGACAGCATAGCTTTCGCCTACCCAAGCGCCGACCAATCAGAGGCCGCGCACTAATTATT